CCGGACCCGCAGTTACAACCTGGGCCCCCCCCTCTCCCTCTCCAGCAGACCAGGGAGAGGAAGCAAAGCCGCGGAGCACGTGGTCAGCGGACAGCCCAGATGCTTCTGGGCTGTCCGCTGCCCGCGTGCTCCGCGGCTTTGCTCTGCTTTGCTCCCCGTCTCCCTGGTCCGCAGACCAGGGGGACGGGGAGCAAAGCGGCAGAACACGCGGACGCGTCTGGGCTGTCCGCTGCCCGCGTGCTCCGCTGCTCTGCTTCCTCTCCCTGGTCTGCTGGAGACCAGGGAGAGGGAGGGCCCCGTTCATAACTGCGGATCCGACGTAAGTCGGATACGCGTAACTCGGGGACTGCCTGTATCTCTCCCTCACTTATCATTTTTTTTAGGCCATGTTCCTACCAAGACTTATGCATGCTTAACTTTAACCTAAATTAAGCATGTGTGTGTCTATCTTTGCTGGTTGATAAATTCTGCATGGGCAAGACAGGAACCTAATTATGTCTGCGCTATACAATACTTAGCACAGTAGAGCTTTGAGTCTGATTCAGATATGTTTGTGATGTCATTACATAAAAATAACTAACATATTTCCCTCTTTTAGGTTCTCAAATATTTTTGCACCTCACACATCCTCAAAGGATATCTTCGAATATAACTGGAGATCTGGTAGTTACGGAATAGAACTGTTCTTCTATATAATTAAATTATTAAATTATATAATACATATGTTTAGGTGGAAGGACATTGAGAATTTGTTAAAATCTTTTAAATGCTATAATCCTTGTTGCAGATTTGTGGCTGTAGTGTGTAAGGTGTTTCCAATGTTGCAGTGAAACATCCCTTGGGACAGTGAGTTTTTGGGAAGGAATCTATGTGTGGCAAAATGTGTTGACACACAAAACAATAACCTTAAAGTGGAACTAAAAATGTTTTACAAGATAAAACGTGTAGATTAAAAATTACAAATAAAGGGCAACTTATCATTTATTAATTACATTTACAATTTAAACTCCCACTCTTACAAATAATTCAATGTGTATAACTTTTAGGTCACGGGTAGTAACCATTCTAAAACCCATTGAAGACAATGGGAGTCTCTTCATTGACTTGCTTGAAATGGGGCTTCAGATGTGAAACTTGACAGCCTTGAGGGCTGTATAAGGTTGCAAAATAATTGTTTCTTCAAGTTTGTTGAATCTGAAATGTGAGTTTCTGTGTCTTTCCAGTGCCAAGTTACAATACCACAGAAGTTTTAGATGGTGGTATCTGCAGGACAGATCAGGAGACAGAATCTGGGAGTTCTAGCCTATTTCTGGCTCTAAATTGTCATTGTATTGTTTGTTTTGCAACAAGTATGCCTCCTCGTGCTTCAGTTTTTTTATTTGAATTTTTATAAACTGAGATTTTGGGATGAAAGGTTTTGTTGACATACAAGATTTTATTTTTATCAATGACAATAGAGAGGGGATGAAAACCTATTTACATGCGTCTTGGATATTTAGGCTGTGTCTAGACTACATCCCTCTTTCGACAAAGGGATGTAAATTAGACACTTTGAAATTCCAAATGAAGAGGGGATTTAAATATCCCACATTTCATTTGCATAATCGCGTCATGGCGCTCTTTCAAACATTCGTGGTGCATTTTTAATTTAAGTTCATACTTAATAGAGAATTACTATGCTTTGCAAAATATTGTGTTACTGAATTATTTTCCCCTCTGTCTTTCTGGATGGTTCAGGACAAGGTGTCTTATGTCATTACAATAGAAAGGATACCATATACTCTTCACCTGAAGCAACAGTAAGTGCTGTTCCTAACCCTTTTGCTCTTATCTGTTATAAGCCAATCATGTGGTTCTAAGAAGGCTTCTCAAGTATTAGATAATTTTCTTTATCTTCCTTTTCTTTTCCAATCATTGGTTAAGTTTCTGAAACAATTCAAGCTGACACTTCTGTATTTTCTTTGCTTTAGCTTCAGTTATTCCTAGTTTTGTGCATTGACAATAGGAGAATCTAAGAGTCTCTGGTAGGAAGTATTTTCAGAGATCCCTGTGTTCTTCAGTCTCAAGACATAAGCAGAAGATTGAGAAGCTGACTGGCAAATCGCAGAAAAACTTGGAATTCTCAGAAGGGTTTGTACCAATGTGATCTGAGGGCTACTCATTACTGTCACCCCATCTAACACAGCAATTTTTCAGTCTGAAAGAAGCTATACAACATTAAATTGTAACTGCAGAAACAAAACTAGGGGTGATGCAAATCATTGCAGCATGTTGAAAGAAGTGTGGATGCTCAAGAAACCTGCAAGAATGTGTGATCTTTGTTTTGAAATTTAAATGTTTTGTATCTTTTTTTATAGATTATTTTTACCTGAAGATTTCAGGGTGTATACTTACAGCAAAGGGGGGTCTGTTCATTCTGATTCCCCACATATTAAGGTAAGATTGAATTTGTTTTGCAGCTTTTTAGCTTTTTCAGATCAGAATTGTTATAAACAAACTCTGGGGATTTTAAATTTTTTTTTAAATATCAGAAAATCTCTATCTTTACTTATTTATTGCTGACATTTTACTAATCCTGGCATGATATTCTTCCAGGAAATATTTCCACTGAGAATTAACAATAAGATTAATTATTTGAAATTTATTTTGGTTGGCTAATTAGGAACTTTTTCAAAAACAGTGACTAGTTAATCTAACTTTGTTTGTTGTAGTTAACTTGTACAATGTATACAAATAGAACACACATATCATTTATGCTTAAACTCAGTAGGGAAGGCCAGGACAGGAAAACAGAGGACTTTGTACTGTCCTGTCCATTTGCCATAGGTAATGTTTGGATCTTCCATCACAAGCTGTCCCCCATAGGTTCTCTACTTCAGGATTTAACTAAAACTGGGCAGATGCTACCTTTTCTCCTAATGTAATCCATTGCCTAACTCTATTAGGAATCCCTTACACAAGCTAATGTGCTTTTCTGAAAAAAATAGGAGTTGAGGAAGTGCAGCATCTTTTTGGAGGGGTCCTTAATGTCTTCTCTCAGACTGCTTTCTTGTGGTTTCCAGGGTGGATCTGTGAAAGGATCCCAAGAGATTAAAGTGGATCACTAGTTGCTCTCCCATTCGGTTATCTCACCTAGAGGCGAACCCTTCCCTCACTTCCCTTTAATTTCTAAAGTTTTGATCTTTTCCCTTTCTCTTCAAGACTCTTTTGTTTATTACTGTAGTTTGGTATCTCCCCAACATTTCTTATTCTCCTCTGATCTTTCATTCCTACTCTTTCTCCGCCTTTTCTCCTTCTGGTGAATTCAACTGCTTTCCTGTTTTCTCTTTTAATCACTGTCAGCAGATTCAATGTTCTTCCTTCCCTGTGCCCCTCACAGGGAGGGGTTGTCTCAGATGTGTGCCAGCATTCCCTTCTGACTTGCTGGAGGTAGACTATGATGTTTGTCTATTCCTTCTGCACAGTAGAGCAGGAAGTAGACAAGAACTGTGAGCAGTTCCTGCAACCACATGGCCTTTGCTACTAATACCTATGTATAACTTCGGAATTAGTGCTCACCTTTTATCTGAGGGCAGGAAAAGAGAGCTGTGCATGCTTAGCAATACAACAAACAGACCCATGCTGGAGCCTTTGCTGCAGCCCAGCCTTTGTGATGGGGCACATCTTCAGAAACCATATTTCCAAATTTGGCGAACTAGCTGGGAGCAGACAGCTTAGGATCTCTAAGGAATTACCTTGGAACTCTCGCTGCCTTGTCCCTTCTGAGCTTATTTGTATGTCTCGGATAGAAATTGAAGGATGAAAAAGTGGGGGGCAAGAATGCAATCGTAAGGACAAATCGCAGACACCGAGCACCCTTGTGCAGTGGTACTGGCTTTTCTGGTGTGGAAAAGATCCAGGGTGCAGATGTTAGGAGACTGCACAGGACATGCTGGGCTCTCTGCCACTGAACCCTTCTACATGAGAGCCCCTTGTGCCTGAAATGGGAGGAGGCCAGGGTGAGTATGAACATGCTGAGGGACTCTGAAATGCAGATCTTCCCGACTCCTTTCTCCTATCCCACAGGAGAGACATGTAAAGGTCTTGCGTAGACTACTTTAGCCATTAGGATGAAACATCCTGTGCAGAACAGCTGGGAAGTCTCTCTGTAGCCTTGGGGAAAGGTTCCTTCTCCTATAGTCCCTCGCTCATCTCTCCAACTCTCTCTGCCTACTTACTCTGGTGGGCACTTGCCTCAGATTTTGAGCCACAATACTGAGATGTGTTCTACTTGAACACTTTTATTTTGAGATGTTTAAAGTTCCATGGAGGTGTCTGTGGAGGCTCTAAAATGCACAGCTAAGTGGAGATGACCTGGGATGGATAACTATACTTTTCGATAAGTTAAGCTATTCACTTTTCTTTGATTTAAAAAAAATATTTAGGATGACTGCTACTATCAAGGATATATTGCTGGTTTCCCCAATTCACTTGTAACACTCAGCACCTGCTCTGGGCTCAGGTAATGAAATATTTTATTAATTACAGCAGTAAGTAATTAGAATAATGCCTCTAGGAAAATTCAGTATCCCAGATCCAACTGTGTGGTAACAGTTAGAGAATGCTAACATTTTAATGATGCTCACTGTACGTGGTGTCTAATGTTTAAGGTCTGAAGCTCATGGCATTTAAATTCAGATCATTTTATGACTTTATGTAACCTGCATATTGCTGGGTTTTTTTTCAGGGGTCTATTGCAGTTTCAGAATGCCAGCTATGGAATTGAACCTTTGGAGTCTTCACCTGGATTTGAACACATTATTTATCAAATAAAGAATGAAAACACAGAAAGCCCACTTTTTTCAAATGCCTACATTGATATAGGGAGAGAAAAGGTGTCTGGAAACATCTCTTACAAGCTGCATACAGATATTGATGTGAGTGCCACTTAATGTCTTAAGGGTAGAGATTATGTTACTGTCAGTATCTGTGCTCAGAAATACTGGATTACATAATTCTGTTGAACCAGAAATGCAGGGTACAGGAAATTCACTGGGACTGTTTTGAATCTGGATTTAATTACTATGTCTGGGTATGTCTACACTACCACCCTAGTTCGAACTAGAGTGGTAATGTAGTCAACTGGAGTTGCAAATGAAGCCCGGGATTTGAATTTCCCGGGCTTCATTTGCATGTTGCCGGGCGCCGCCATTTTTAAATGTCCGCTAGTTCGGACTCCGTGCCCCGCGGCTACAAGCAGCACGAACTAGGTAGTTCGGACTAGGCTTCCTATTCCGAACTACCGTTACTCCTCATGGAACGGATTAGGAAGCCTAGTCCGAACTACCTAGTTCGTGCTGCTTGTAGCCGGACATTTAAAAATGGTGGCGCCCGGCAACATGCAAATGAAGCCCGGGAAATTCAAATCCCGGGCTTCATTTGCAACTCCGGTTGACTACATTACCACCCTAGTTCGAACTAGGGGGCTAGTGTAGACAGACCCTCTGTGTTATGCAGAAATTGGGCAACTTGGTGCCTGTTCATGGCATATGAGAGCTTTTACTTTGGTAAAAAAAAAATAGCACTGTGATTAAGCTATTGCTAAAGAAGTATGATCCATTAGACTGAACATGATGCTCTATGTCACTCCGGTATCTGCAGACACAATGTTACTAATGTCCCATATTCAGGGGTATATCCTGTCTCAGTGGGGATAGCTTTAGCTGATTGAGCACAACTCCTGTAAATCTGTCTGATAAGAGTTTCACTGTCAGCATTAAATTACAGCTCTAGTTCCCACTTGCGAATGTAGATAGTCCTGCCTGACTTTTGGTTCCCTATTTCGACTTTAATAACTCATTCTTGATGCCCTTCCACCATGGCTTGACGAGAGGGTGGATTTTCAACCTTGGCCTTCCACGGGGGAAAATTCTTCCCTAGAACTTCATGTGTAGATTCTATTTGCTGGGTCAAAGAAGGTGACAGATAAGATGTAGGGTTGCCAGGTGTCCGGTTTTGAACTGGACAGTCCAGTATTTGAACTTTCTGTTTGGGAAACAAATTGAGAAAATGGAAATGAGAAAATATCAATGTCTGGTATTTTCTAAATAAGATGCAATGTAGATTGTGATGTAATGTCAAGTGTGACCAGTATTTTTGTTGAAACCATTTGGCAAACTTAATAAGATGTTGCTGGTGCCAGTTATTAAGAGTGGAGATTCACTGGGGACATTTAGGGTGTGTCTAGACTACAGGGTTTTGTCGACAAAAGTGGACTTTTGTCGACAAAACTATACCTGCGTCCACACTGCCTTTGAGTTATGTCGACATAACGTCGACAAAACTCAGCAGTTTTGTCGACGCTGGTAAACCTCATTCTGCGAGGAATAACGCCTTTTGTTGACAGAGTTCTGTCGATAGAAGGCATTATTGCATCTACACTGTCCTTTGCGTCCACACTGTTATGTTGACAAAGAGGCTTGCTTTGTCTACAGAACTGGATGTAGTCTAGACGCTCTTTGTCGACAGAAGCTTTGTCAACAGTATGTGTTGACAAAACTTCTGTTGACAAAACCCTGTAGTCTAGACGTACCCTTAGCCACCAGAGAAATGGTGGTATTTATAGGGCAAAAATAAAACCCAAATGGCGTAGGAGGCATGACATTCTCCAGAGGTGTTTGGGGCTTAAGGCTTGGACCCCACAGAACCTTTCATTGGACAAGGGAGACAAACTCATAGAGTGGAGTAGGACGGAAATTATCTGGTATTAGAATATTCAATTTTTGACTTTTTAAGAATCTGGGAAGTGATGATATATGGCTGGTTTGGCCAGCTGTGCATATTACTTCTGTAGCTCCTTGGTTTAGATGTTTTGCTAAGAATGAAGAGTAAGTGCCATTAGGGTAGCTGCTGTTTAATCAGTTCGTTTATTTTATACTCATCTCTGGTTTCTTAATATTGCTACAGAAATTAAGACCAAATTATGCTGAAGTTTTTGGAATCTAGTTTCAGAAGAGTGGCTGTGTTAGTCTGTATCTGCAAAAACAACAAAGGAGCCCTGAGGCACCTTAGGGTGTGTCTAGACTACAGAGTTTTGTCGACAAAAGTGGACTTTGGGGCTTAAGTTTTGTCGACAAAACTATACCTGCGTCTACACTACCGCTGAGTTCTGTCGACATAACGTCGACAGAACTCAGCAGTTTTGTCGACGCTGGTAAACCTCATTTTATGAGGCATAACACCTTCTGTCGACAGAGTTCTGTCAACAGAAGGTGTTATTGCATGTAAACTGTCCTTTGCGTCTACACTACCATGTCGACAAAGCAGCTTGGTAGTCTGGCTGTAGTCTAGACGCTCTTTGTCGACAGAAGCTTTGTCGACAGTATCTGTCGACAAAACTTCTGTCGACAAAAGCCTGTAGTCTAGACGTACCCTGAAAGACTAAGAGGTTTATTTGGAAAGCTTTCATGGCTAACATCCACTTCTGACAAAGAGTTAGTAAGTGATATAAAAGGTGAAATACTGACATGATCACTAAGTATTGAAGACTTTTTTTTGCAGCCAATGTCAGATGTCACCAAATCCCCCAGGTATCTGGAAATGTATGTGGTAGTGGACAAGGGTTTGGTAAGTCTGTATCAGTCAAATTTGCTTTATTTCATATATTTCTGGTACTTTTTAAAATGTCACAAAATGCATCGTTTGAAGACTGTCCTTCTAAAGGTCCGGGATGCAATAACGGGTTGTCAGAAAAGCTGAGATTGTATCTTGGGTATTTTTAGTGAAAGTCATGGGGAGGTCACTGGTGATAAAGAAAAATTCATTGAAGAACGTGACCTGTCCTTGACTTTTACTAAACATACCCCGGGGCGCGGGTTACCAGTCAGAGCAATGCTGGGTGCTGGCTGCTGACCTTTGCTGCAGCCCCACTGCTGTTCTTGCAGCCTGATTGCTGCGCCAGCCCAGGCTGCTGCTGCAGTGGCAGAGGCCGCTCACTGCTCTTGCCCCAGATTGTTGCTCCGATGGCAGCAGCTGCTGCTCTAGTCCCAGACGATGGATCTGCGGCAAGGGCTTGCTGATGCTCCAGCCCCAGGCCATGGCTCCAGCCCTGCTGCTGCTTCTGGGCAGGGGCTGACAGCTGCTCCCGCTGGCCGACCACTGAACAAGCCATGGGTATTGGTCAAAGCAATAGACTCTGTGGCCCTCATGACAGAATTAGATCCTTAATTCTCGGGTACATAATAACTTTTGTCAAAGGATCAGTGCTTATTTTGTTCATGGAATTGGAAGGAAACTGAGAATTAAAATAATTAGACACATTTAAATGCTCCAAATTTGAGCCCCATGTGAATGTTCCACTGCTGCGTCAGGGAAATGGCATGTTCAAAAAATGTCCTGTAATGATGTTTAGCTGTTACTTAAAAAATTGTCTTATTTTTCCAGTACCAATATCTGGGTTCAGACAAGGATGTTATAACAAAGCAAATAATCCAGCTTCTTGGATTTGTGAACAGTGTAAGTAACTGCTTTTTTGTTTCATATTGAAATGTAATGTGGATGTTTTACTTTGATGCTATTAAAGGCCAAAGATTTTCTAGATTTTCTTATTTTCTCCAGGGAATTATTTAGTCTTGATTTTAACTCTTGAGTCTCAAGTTTTTGTTTATGACAGCCAGATCTTTATAGCAATTAGAGAAACAATGTTTAATTGCTACACTTCCAGCATCAAGCTTCTGACTTTTTTTGCATCTGAATTTGTAGTGTTGTGGACATGTTCAGGGTCAGGATTTATAACCTGATGTTTATTTGTATATATTTTTAGTTATGAATCCTCTGTTTATTTGCCGAAACCCCTCTTCTCAGAACTACTTGTTTGGTCTGTTGGGCAAGCACTATATATTTGTTTGCAATCCCCCCCCCATTCTCCTTTTAGTTTTTCAGATTCTGGAGGGAAGTACCTCCACACCCAAGAGCTGTTGTGTGATGTCCATTTTGCTAAGTTGGGCCTTTAGGTTATTCTTTATAAAACTAAAATCCTGCTACACATCAAATGTAATTGAATATCTGTTTCTTCTGTTGTATTTTCAGATGTTTACCTCCCTTAATATAACAATTGTACTGTCTTCTTTGGAGTTTTGGACAGATAATAATAAAATTTATACAGCAGGGGAAGCTGATGAGATACTGCGAAGATTTTTACAATGGAAAGAATCTTACCTTGTTCTACGGCCACATGATGTGGCATATTTATTCGTGTAAGAAGAACATTTTTCTATTCTTAAAAAGGCACCCTGGAAATCTTTTAGACTGGGCCAACACAATTCCACATGATCTACAAACATCTCTTGAGAAAATAAAAGGACAGACACTATGAATTATTATAAATATAATTCTAGATGTACTGTGCTTACAAAATATTTTCAGACTTTTCAGAATGTTTCTATTGTAAACAATAGAAAGTAAAAGTTAAACTATAAGACACATTGTCCTTTAAACACTGCTGCCAAGAACATAGTTATGCTCAAGAGTCTGTTTTCGTGTTTTAGTTACAGGAACCACCCTAATTATGTAGGGGCAGCATTTTCAGGCAGGATGTGTCTCAGAAAGTATGCTGGCGGAGTTGCTCTGGTATAGTATTATCGGATCTACATGGCTAGTAAACATTGTAACGCTGGCTTCAGAGGGAGTGGTGGTGGGCACTCAGCACCTGTGAGAAATAGCTCATTTGTATTTGAGATGCCTTAAATATGCATTTGGATGTTTGACTTTAGGCTCTTCTTGGTTAGAAAAATTTGCCCATAAGTGCTTCAATAGATCTTGGAGCAGAAGTGCGAATGTGGGGGCCTACTTTTGTCTATAGTCTCCTCCTAGCCCTTTAAAGTACTTTAGAGCTTTACTTTGCAAGGTGCTGAGTACTTTGGCACTAATCGAGCAAAGCTCTTCAGCATGCTTATCTATAAATACTGAGTGGTCCCATTAACTTGGGACTGTTCATGAATTAAGGCTAAGCACCTCTTTAAATGTTTTGCTGCATCAAGGCTAGAAGTTAGCACCCTGCAGGATTGAATCGTAAGAACAATTATATATTATACAATATTCATTTCTCTTACATATTCTGTGTCAAGTGCTGCATTGCTTTTCACATCCTGTACATCCTCCTTGCTTTTGTTTGATTTTCCAGAATGTAAGCCAGCATGAACTTTGGTTTGGTATTGAAGACAAGCATCTTCAGGAGTTTTACATAAAAGTACATGCAGTGTTATAAAATACAACCTAACTGGGCAGTGAACAGAAGAGTTTAGAATTTTATCACAGTTTTTGTTTCCTTAACTGAGTTTCTTTGATAATGATTTCCAGATCTCTCTCTTATTTAGTATCAGAGGGCTGTAACACTGGAAGCATTTTCAGTCATCATTGCGCAGCTGCTGGGGTTGAGTCTGGGAATAGCATATGACGATTCTAGGAACTGTCTGTGTCCTGGATCCATCTGTGTAATGAACACCAAGGCAGTGTAAGTCTGCCTGTATACCTCACCTAATATTGCATTGTTATTGTTTAGAAGTGCTTTCCTGTGCTATGCAAGTTCAAATATTGTCAGTGACCATGGCTTAGTATTTAAATGGTTCTGTGAGTGAAGGGAGAGCACCCTCAAATTAGCTTGATATCAATGAAACTTTTGAGTGGCACTTCTTTATACCACAAAATAGTTTCTGAAAAACATATCTGAAAATATGTTTTCATATCTGCATGCAAGTATGCATGTTTCATATTTATATTGCAACAAAAATGATTAAAGGTCTAGAAAACATGACCTATGGGGGAAGATTGAAAGAACTGGGTTTATTTAGTGTGGAAAAGAGAAGACTGGGAAGGGGTATGGTAACAGTTTTCAAGTACCTAAAAAGGAGTTACAAGAAAAATCATTCTCCTTAACCTTTGAGGATAGGACAAGGAGCAAGGGGCTTAAATTGCAGCAAGGGAGGTTTAGGTTGGACATTAGGAAAAACTTCCTGCCTGTCAGGGTGGTGAAACACTGGAATAAATTGCCCAGGGGGGTTGTGGAATCTCCATCTTTGGAGACATTGAAGAGCAGGTTGGACAGACACCTGTCAGGGATGGTCTAGACCAGGGCTACTCAACATGCGGCCCGTGGGCCACATGTGGCCCACTCGTTTGAGGCCCACTGTGCGGTTTGGGTTTACACGGGGCTCAACACACGGGTGGGATCCTTTGAAAGTGGCCTCCACTGGGAACACGCTCCACAATGGTGAAGCATCTCCCAGGTGGGGTGAGCACTGAAAGACGCCAGCGGACGGGCTGGCTGGAACAGACGGGTACAGGGTGTCGGCATTTCTAGCCCCCAGGGAGAAGGTGCTGGGAGCGCTCTGTGAAAGAAGCTATTTGCATATATTTGCATGCATATGCAACCACACTTAAGTTGCGGCCCTTGGCATGTGCTGTGGATATCATTGTGATCCCTGGGGCTTCCAAGTTGAGTAGCCCTGGTCTAGATGGTGCTTGGTTCTGCGGTGAGGGCAGGGGACTGGACTCGATGGCCTCTTGAGGTCCCTTCCAGTTCTAGTGTTCTGTTATTCTGATTCTAAGGTTTATAGTAGGCTTTGATTATCTGTTTTTGTTCCTTTTTCCTTGTGTTAATGATCTTAGAATGGAACAGAATTTGCTGTTGGTTTGTTCCTGTTTTTTGTAATGTTTATTTAATTAGTTATCTGTTTGTGTGATTTTCCATGGAAAGGGTTAATTTTCAAAGTCTGGCGTGATCATTATAGTTACTGGCAGTCATGTGCTTAAAATCTTTTTTGTTGGACAAAGTCTGCTCCTAGCTATAAAAGGGCAACCTCACTGAATGTGTGGGATTGCATGCATGTAACAATGCAAAATTTGGCCCATGGCATTTACCGGTATTACTTTGCTTTCCCCCTCCTCAAGATTCTGCTTTTAATTATTTTTTAGATAAAACATACATGGTCATATGATGAATTCTCAAATTGTATTTTCAATAACATACGTCTTACTAGACATTACTTATATAGTCAATTCAGAGCAGATCAAGATATGCTAAAAATGGGCTACATTGGAGAGCTCCAGAAAGTGTTCACAAGCTAACCCACGGCTCTGGGGACTGCCAGTAAAATCATGTAATCCTGCTGCTACTAAGTCAAATTCAGCCACGGGTCATGTGGAAACTGATGCCTGTGACTAACTCAGTGAAACTATCTATACACTGAATTGTTTTCAGTTTTGTCAGTTGTGACAAATAATCATTGCTGTCTGGTGGCAATAATATGAAATGAATTCATAAAGCTAAAGAATCTATTTTATGTTTATCTATTCTACTCTTCTGCCTAACACATGCTACAGAAGCTCACTTGGTAATTTGTTCATCAAATCAATAGCTTCTGTTAGAGCTATAACAATTTTTTTTCTAATTTCTTATGGATAGATGTTCATGTTACAAAAACCATCACCAGAATATAGCTCTACAATGAGATTGTTCAACTTCAGTTTATTTTTCTCAATACAAAGAGATTTGATCTGTGTATTGGATTAAAATGGTTCAGGATATTGTAGCACTTTATAATTGATGTAAGGTTTTGTGTATATGTTTTTTAAAAGGAAACTAAGGCCATTATAAGTAACCCAGAGGTGTGATTTTTTTTTTTAAATCTTTCACATAAAGTTTTCGTTTATAAGAAAATAATTAAAATATATTTCAGTTTGTTAGTAACTCTGATATGCTTAGGTATCCCTTTTTAACTTAAATTAGTGGAAATCTCTAATAATAATAATAATAATAAAAAGGATGAATTGTAGTTACTAATTTCTGCCAATTTTTATTCTTAAGACATTATTTGAATGAAGTTTTATAAAATGAACTGAAAGTCCTTCTGCTGAATATTTTGGAAAGTAGCATTAATGAATCTAAGTACTCCAAAATATTTGAATATTTTCAGTTGATATAATTTTTCATTGATTATTTTTTTAGGCTTTCCAATGGGGTAAAAGCCTTTAGCAGCTGCAGCATTAGAGATTTCAAAAGTTTTATTAAACACAGTGGAGGAGAATGCCTGTCCAACAGACCCTATTTGAATCTGACCTACAAGCGGACTTCAGTCTGTGGCAATCGTATAGTAGAAAGAGGAGAGCAGTGTGACTGTGGCTCAGCGCAGGTTAGTACTCCCCACCAGAAAGCCTAAGTAGTGTCAGCTTCCTTTGCTCTCCGTTTAGAAGAATCGCACTTTGAGAGTTAGCACCCAACTGAAATGTGGGAGTCACTGGAGATCTTACATATATTTATTAATGTGTTTCATGTTCAAATTAACTTTGTTGTAACTTGACACTTATTTTAATTTGGGGATCTTTCAGGTTGTGATTTTTACAGCGTGATAATCTTGGACAGACTCTTTAAAGAAGAAAGATTTTAGAATAGCAAATGCTTTGTTGGTTTATTTTTCAGGACTGTGCAAAAGATAAATGCTGCACTGACAGTTGTAGACTTAAGCGAGGAGCTCAGTGTGGTACTGGTTTATGCTGCCAGAAGTGTAAGGTAATTTGTATCTTCAAGATGATCAGAAGCTGGAGAGACCCAGTTCACTCCACAGCTGTAGGTGAAAACCAGCTTCCCATTTGTGTGAATCCGTGCTGACACTTTGTGAAGATTCACCTCTGGACTTGGCATTTGCAAGAGTGGTGTTTGGCCAAAGGCAGCATTTTAATTAGCCCTTTTAATTTTAATCAGACGATATTTTTGATATGGGCAGTAGGGGGCGTGCCACGGAGAACAACATAGTTCAAAATGGCTGCCCTGACCCTTTTATTCCTTTTGTTTAGTCAAAAAGTGTCTTGGCTTTGAAACTCTCTGGTGAAGATCATCAACTTGGTCAACACTCAAAACCCCCACAGGCTTGGTAGTGCCACAGTGGGCTCCACTTTGTTTCGTATCACATTATAAACCAGATGGAGGCAGGGTTACAACACAGGTATTCTCAGGCACGGTCTCCTACATGAACCACTAAATAATTTTGCCTTCTTTGTAAATGTGAGGTGCAATGGAAGGTTTTTAGAACTTAAAGAAGAAGAGAACAGCACTGCACGAGGGAGAGCAAACTCCTCTGTCACTATCTTAGCGATACAGCTTCCTATACAAAACATAGTTGAAGATAGCCTCTGTCCCCAAAAGTTTACAAAGTAAATAGACAAGACAGACAAAGGTCGGGGGAAGGAAGCGTTACTATCACCATGTTACACCCAGGGAAACAGAGCACAGAAAGGTTAAGTGACTTGCCCATGGTCAAGCCTACCAATAGTAGAGATGAAAATAGAATTTACTTCCCCTGAGTTGCTCGCCAGTTTGTCCTTCCACTCAGTTCCCTTACTTCATCCACATAAAGGTTCCCTTAGCACCGGGATTTGATGATCTCGTCCTTTCTTTTAAGTTTACATTGGGATATATCTCACCTCTGCACGTTCTAGTGGGGCAAGTTCTCCAGACAGGTCAGTGGGACTATTCACACATGGAAAATTAAGCATGTGCATAATTTTGTAGTCTTAGGGCTTCAAAATGAAATATTTTTAAGGATCGTACTTTTACATGTCATCCACAAGCTGACACCTCTAAAAGTACGACGTTTCCTGGAAGTATGGTGGGACTTTTTTCTGTACTGCCTTAGGGGAAGCATGCCTTATGCTAAATCACTAAGGCCACTCTGACAGAGAGTTTGGGGTCTATCAATTTCTATTTCATGTCAAGGGAAACATTAAGGAAAATGATTTTTAAAAGTCACGGGTGATCTGAACTCATACATACAGTTCAAAAGAATTTTACAAAGAATTCTCGCATTCGTCACAGTCAGTGATAACCGCATTCCACAGCATATGTGTGTTGGTATTATTTTCTTATTCACCCTAAGTATCTTTTCTTGTGCTTTGCATAAATTGTTATTTGAACATTATAGACCATAATCTTTATAAATCATGCACAATCTCCCTATTCCTACTTTTTCAAGATTATGGCAAAGAATAAGAAATGCAGACCCGTGGCTGATAGTCAGTGTGATCTCAGTGAGTACTGCAATGGGTCATCTGCATACTGTCCAGCTGATCTGTATGTTCAGAATGGGCACAGATGCGAACACGGTACTGCCTATTGTTACAAAGGACGTTGCCAGTCGGCTGATAGAGAGTGTCAGAAGATCTATGGAAAAGGTAATGGGGACAACTATGTTCTTTTTTGTTCTAAAATCTATTCAACTCAATGCTGTAATAATAATAATTATTAATAACATACTTATCTAGCCCCTTTAACCCATAGATCTGAAATGAATACTTATCTTTATTTCCTTTTTATTGACGGCAAGGAAATGAAGCACAGAGTGACCAAATTATTTGTATAAAGCAGTGTTTCTTATACTGTGTTCCACGGCATGAGGCAGTCGGAGGTGTGCCGCGGAGAACAACAGAGTTCAAAATGGCTGCCCTGACCCTTCTTCCCCCCCCCCCCCCAACCTTTTTTTTCCTCAACAAAAAATCTTTGGTGTTCCTCATAAAAACAATCATTGTTTGGTATTCCTCGGTCTTAAAAAATTTAAGAAACACTGGTATAAAGTGATATTAAACATCATCATAAAGACATGGAGGTAACCCATAAGCATAGATTTTGTAGAAATAAAATAAAAATGAAGTGGGGATTGTAAATTAAAATGAATTTGTAAAATATATCTTCTCTTTTGCTAACCAAAGAGCAGACGAGAAAACCAGTTCTTATTCCAGTGCTTCACCACCATTCTGGTGAAGTAGTTTTTCCTAATATCCAACCCATACCTCCCCTACTGCAATTTGAGACCATCGCTTCTTGTTCTGTCATCTGTCACCACTGAGAACAGCCTCTCTCCAGCCTCTTTGGAACCCCCCTTCAGGTAGCTGAAGGCTGCTCTCAAATCCCCCCTCACTCTGCTGTAGACGAAATAAGCCCTCCTCATAAGTCATGTGCTCCAGACGCCTAATATTTTTTGTTAACCTCTGCTGGACTCTCTGCAATGACTCCACGTCCTTTCTGCACTGGGGCCCCAGAACTGAACACAGTACTCCAGATGTGGTCTCACCAGTGCTGAAAAAGGGAAATAATCACTTCCCTAGATCTGCTGGCAATTCTCCGACTAGTGCGTCCCAGAAAGCTGCTAGCCTTCTTGGCCACAAGGGCACACTGTTGGTTCATATCCTGTTTCTCATCCACTGTAATCCCCGGGTCCTTTTCTGCAGAACTGCTGCTTAGCCAGTCGGTCCCCAGCCTGTACCAATGCTGGGGATTCTTCCGTCCCAAGGGCAGGACTCTGCACTGGTCCTTATTGAACCTCATCAGATTTCTTTTGGACCAACCCTCCAATTTGTCTAGGTCACTGTGGACCCTATCTCTGCCCTTCAGTGTATCTACCTCTCCCCCTAGCTTAGAGTCATCTGCAAGCATGTGGAGGGTGCAATCCATCCCCTCAGCCAGGTCATTAATAAAGATAAACTGACCCAGAACTGACCCTTGGGCCACTCCGCTTGATACTGACTGCCAACCAGTCATGGAGCTATTGCTCACTACCATTGAGGCTGATGATCTAGCCAGCTTTCTATCCCCCACGGTCCATTTATCCAATCCATACTTTAACTTGCCGTCATGAGCGTAGCATGATGTTAGAACCTACTATATCTTCTCCTTTCACACCTAGTTTTTACTCTTGGATTGGGAGAGGCCAACAAGCTGCTTTTTATCTCACAATGGTTTTTTCACCTTTGAATGAGCTTTTTATAGAATCATAGAAGGGACCTCGAGAAGTCATCAAGTTTAGTCCCCTGCCCTTACGGCAGGACCCAGTACCATCTAGACCATTCCTGATAGATGTCTATCTAACCTGCTCTTAAATATCTCCAGAGATGGAGATTCCACAACTTCCCTAGGCAATTTATTCCAGTGTTTAGCCACACTGACAGTTAGGAACTTTTTCCTAATGTCCAGTCTAAACCTCCCTTGCTGCAGTTTAAGCCCATTGCTGCTTGTTCTACCCTCAGAGGCCAAGGAGAACAATTTGTCTCCCTTCTCCTTGTGACACCCTTCTAGATATTTGAAAGCCACTATCATGTCCTCTCTGTCTTCTCCTTTCCAAACTAAACAAGCCCAATTCTTTCAGTCTTCCTGCATAGCTCATGTTCTCTAGACCTTTCATCATTCTTGTTGCTCTGTCCCTTCAGGAGACATGAGGGGGTTTCTCCTCCAAAATGAAGCATTTAATCACTGAAAATGGGGGAAGTACCCTCTCCAAAACGTCCAATGCTTGCAGCAAGGTGCCCCCCCCCCCCCCCCGCCACAGCTGTCTGTGTGTACACAGGTTTCTGTTTCCTTCTCCCTTGCACACTGCACTGCCCATCAGTGCCCAGTTCACTGATTACATTATCGTACTCCATGAGGAATAAGGGACGTCGAAAGAAGAGTGTTCTTCCTTCGACTTCCTCCTGTGTAGACAGACCCAAAAGCCTAATTAAGCTATTTCAGCTTCAGCTACTCAATCGATGTAGTTGAAGTTGCATATCTTAATTCAACTTTTGCCCTGCCGTGTAGACGTATCCTGACTTCTACCAGTACGGTGGCCTGACTTTCTTTAAAACTTCAGCAACGAACATGCTGTTTAATATTATTTTTGTATTTAGTTTAAATGATCAGTAGATTATAGTACATTTAGGCCTTAAAATAGGTTCCTACAATTTGAAATTTAATTTTAAAATATATTTATTTTTCTTCAAAGAAAAACGTATTTAATTTAAATAAAAATACAGTTTGAACAGAAAGGTATCTGATTTTTTTAATACTGATTTTTATCCTTCCTGGTTTTCTCTAATCTATGTAAAGCATATACATATTGCAATGCTAGGCGCTTTAGAATGACTGATTGATTAATACATGATTTTGTGTTCTTTTTAATTATATTCAATCTTATCTCAAAACTTACAGGTTCTAAAAATGCTCCTCTTGCATGTTATGAAGAAATCAATAGTCAAACAGATAGGTTTGGACACTGTGGGAATGATCAGAAGACAGGATTTAAAACCTGTGGTTGGATGTATGTTTTTAAGGAAAAAAAATCTTTAATTTCTGCTTTCCTCTGCTGTCTGGTGCAAATGTTTGCTATCTATTGGGTCAGTCGTAAGGATGCTTAAATTTTAGTACAGCCTTCCCCTTTAGTCGCAGGTGTTCTACATTAGCCGTAGGCCTTGCTCCTGCAGCATGGAATGCAGGCATTAGCAGAAGCTGTGCTTGACCCAGATGTGGTTATGGAGTAGTAATGCTCCACACTGAACAGAACAGAACTCAGTGCCGTGCATACCTGCTTCTTCTTCCACCTGAAGAGCATATGGTAGATCAAGGTTGAGGCATGGGCAGTGAATGAACATAACTGAAAAAAAAATGTTCTGAAGTGTAATCCGCAACACACCAAGGAAGCACAAGGAAGCACAAAACTCATGGGGCAGGTGTAGTGCCCGTAGCCTCTGATTGCCAGAAGCTGGGAATGGGTGACAGGATGGACCACTTGATTACCTGCTCTGTCCATTCCCTCTGAAGCGCCATGCGCTCCTCTCCAAGGATGGGATGCTGGGCTAGATGAGCCTTTGAGCTGATGTTTTTATGTGTGCCCCATGGATGTGCATCAGTGCTCTCCTTATTTCAGGGATCAGTCTTCTGACTTCCTAGCCCTGTTCATGACCTCTATCCCAATCTAATATGTGCAACAACCCACCTGTGCTCCGCTCTTTCATTTTTCTAATGTGTTGGCAAATCAGGGGTCACCTGTCTCATTTTATTTTCCTCTGCTATTGACTTTTATAGGGATGTTACCTGTGGAAAGTTAGTTTGTACATATCCAAGTCGCAGTCCATTCACTAAAGAAAAAGCTGCTATTATTTATGCTCAAGTGCGAGACCATGTATGCATATCTTTAGATTATATGAATCCACCCACAGAGAATGACCCTCTCCTCATTAAAGAAGGCACAGAGTGTGGACCTGGAAAAGTACGGAAATAATTTATAAACATCTAACATTTCAATATGTGAGACTTTATGAAACCTAATTAGGTTTTAGAAATATTTATTGCTTGGCAACGTGGCTTAAGGTTATTCATTACTGATGTTTTATTTACTTAGCACCAAAAGAAAATGTGAGTGGGCAACAAAATAGCAAATAAAGTTTAGTGTTGGCAAACACAAAGTAAAGCATATTGGTGGGGAAAATTTGTACTTCTGATGCACTTTGCAGAGTTCTAACTTAACTGTATCAACTCAGGACGGGACCGGGGCATCATTCAGGACAGCTTATTGAGGACCTCTACTTAATGAGGACCTCTACTTCAGCTGCAGTCAAAACACTGAACAAGATGTTTGGATACATCAAGAATGGGATAAAAATATTATAATGCCATTCTATGATGGTAACCGTTATTTGGAACTAGAAGATTTACCTGACATTGCTCGAGTCCTTAACACAAATAACTTCTGTTTGTCTTCATTTCAATCATTGCTCTGGGATGGGGCTGTAGATGATGGGTTCAGGATGCAGGCTGCCCCATGGAGAGAAGACAATCTCAGCCCTCTATCACTGTAGCAGATTGGGGCCAGGTGAGAAGCGCCTCTCCATGGCTGCTGAAGCAGCAGGCACAGCTGCGAGAGGGGTGCATGTCCTGGCAGGGGGGATGACAAACAGACACACAACCAAACTCTCTGAAATATATAGTAGATAGCTGTCCCTTTCTCTATCCCTGCTGGCACAATGGGGTTATAGCTGTCCTGATGCCCATTTCTGGCCCCTTGCTGCCTGCTTGTGGTCTTTCTACCATATAACTCCTTTCTCCCAGACCCCACCCTTTTCATTTTATGAGACACAATTGAATTCTAGGCACACCCCACTGTCATGGTACAGCCAAACTCTTACCTTGTTTAAGAGGAAGCTGCATACCAAATGGTGGTTCTAGCTCTTTCTGTTTAGAAGGAGTTCTTGAGCAAAAGGACTCTCAGCCAGACACACATTTTAAAAATATATAATAAAATATTGTGTGAAGTATTGGCTATTGTATTACAGAATTAAAGGGAATTCAGAGAAGGGTGACAAGGTGATTAGAGGCATTTAAAAAAACCTCCTATGAAGAGAGATTGAAAAGATTAGGTTGGGTTGTTCCAGCATGGCAGGGCCCACCCATGGGTGGAGGGCCCAGTTCGCTGAGGAAACTGGATTTTCTATTCCTAATACCGGGATACAACAATCTTGTGGCCCACTGAAATGAAGGAAGACCACTCATGTGGCCAACCTACTAGCCTAATTTGCCCATCGCTGTCCTGGACTCTTTGACCCTCTGGGGGGCCATATTGGAGCTGTGCTACAGAACAGGAAAAGCATGCTGCATCTCATGCACCCTTCTAAGAGCAAAGCAGGAAGTGGCTCTTAGCAATGGGCCCAGCAGCCAATGGGATATAAACTTCACCAGAGGAGGGGAAGAACCCCAGCAGTGATGGTGGCATTTGGAAAGCATGTGTATTGACAAATCAAAATTTTTTTGCCTTGGTTTTAAATGTATAAACACATGGTACTTGTAGATTTGTGGTTATTAACAGGATCGTTTATTTCATCGTTTATTCCCTTCTTAATCTGCCATCCCTACAGAACACATCACTTTGCATTGCCAATTAACTTTTGGCAATCATTAGAATATTTCTGTAAAGCTGTAATATTTATGGCCCTTCCATCCTAGGCTTCTTTTCAGAGCATGCAGTCAATGTCTATCAAACGCTAAGATTGTCAGACTCAGCTGAATTGGAATTTTATGCTGTGGGTTTGTTTGTTGTTTAATTGGTTGTGCCCACAAAAGCTCATGATACATCTACATTTGTGTTAGTCTTTAAGGTGCTGCAAGACTATTAGTTATTTTTTAAGTTTTTTTCAGTTACAGACTAACATGGATACCCCTCTGAAACTTTCATTTTTTAGGTTTGTCTAAACCGCACGTGCCAGTTTTATGCAGCCCTGCAATATGATTGTAATCCACAAGTAAAATGCAATGGTCATGGAGTAAGTAATAATAATATTACAATGTTGGCGTTACTGCCTCTATGAATATTGTTTAGGAAGTTCTTTACTTATAAAGTCCCATTTTGAAGTGTCTGGGGATTGGCTGTAAAAGCCCTTTTTGGCTGACACCCGAGGTCCAAAATCAATATGCCACTGCCATTTATTTATGGAAGTAATTGAGTAAAACAGTTGACACCATTTTGCTTTCTTAGAACCAGCAATGAAATCAGAATATTTGAAAGAGATTGCTATGCTCAATATAACTATGAAATGATGAGCTGCTTGGCAGAGTAGAACAAAGATCTGGATCTCTGAACAGGAGGGAGTTGCAAATGACCAAATGAGTGTAGATTTATAAACAACGTAACATGGGTGTAGCAGGCGGGAGGAACCATGCTGGTATGGTGGACTGAGGACAGGATGGAAAGCTGGGAAGTCCTTGAGTTCTAATTTCAGTTTTGCCATTAACTTGATGTTGACCGTGGGCAAGTCAGTCCTCCTCTCTGGGGCAAGGAACATTAAATACTGCATATTGCCACACAGGGACTGTGCATTATATTTATCCAGCTTTTGGAGGAGGTTTAGGCACAGTCTTATTTTCAGCTCATTGTCTGGTATATTTTCTGGCCTGTCAGACTATGCAGCAGTATTCAGGGCCTGAATGTATCCCACTAAAATCCATATTGGCATCAATGGGAGCAGGGTTGGTCCTCGGTCTGGCTAGAAGACGGAGTTTGACAAGAAAGATGTGATCTTAGAGCAGTAGTTTTCAACATGTTGTTTGCAGATCCCTGGCAATCTTTGTGTGTTAAGATTTACAAAGCGCCGTGCGCCTACATTTGAAATTTTCTAGGGATTCACAAATGGGAAAAGTTTGAAAACCCCCTGCTGTAGAGGGTAGGCAACAGTACTCTCTGAGGACAACTGTCTAAAGGAGTAATTTTGCCACATTCCCCTGTGTTTTCAGGTATGCAACAATAAGAAGCATTGTCATTGTAATCCTGGCTGGAGCCCTCCAGATTGCCGCAGACAAGGCTCTGCAGTGGGGGGGAGTATCGACAGTGGATTTCGATTTTTGGACTCTGGTTAGTAATCTGAGCAAAAGCCCTACATCCCACTGACCTGAATTCAGAGACTCTTCTCTAAGGGTACGTCTACTCTGCACGGCTATTTCAGGACACCGGAGGTATCCCCAAATAGCTACCCTGTGTCTACACAAGCCGCCTGTTATTTTGAACTATTTTTCGAAATAACGGGTGCACTATTTTGACATGTCGATAAACCTCGTTGCACCAGGGTTAAGGGATGGCTCGAAATCGCATGTTGTTTCGAAATTTGGCACTGTGTAGATGCGCCAAATAAGCTATTTCGAAATAGATTTAAGATAAGATACGCAATTTGTGTAGCTCAAATTTTGTGTATCTTACTTCGAGTTTAGGGTGCTTGTAGATGCACTCTTCACTGAAAAAAGAATGGTGATCAGACACTCTGGTGATGGGCATCTTAGATAAACATGTCATCATAATATCCAGAAAATCACACCATCAGTGATGGGGTAGCTATACACTGAAACTCTATATTTTTGTGAAAAAGAGAACATTTATAATACAGGAAATGAGAAATGGGGGAGGGGTTGTGCTATGTGGTTACTTCTAGTCTCAGTTATTTCTGATTTGCATGGACACAGCTCTCAGCAGAGTCTGGCCTGTAATTATTAATAGGTGAAACCATAATGCAAAGAAGCAGTAAGACCAGTGGCTCTGTCAAGAAAATACTGAAGTATTGCATTATCTTATGAACAGAGGGGGCACCGGGCTCATAAATCAAGCCCGTATCTTAACATTCTGCCAGTTTCTTCAATTCAATGGTTTTGAGCTCTGGAAGGAAATCTGCCATTGGAGGAGAAGGCTCCATAGAGAAGCTTTCTTAATCTCTGCCTGCACTCTGTCCATTTTGGTTAACATGATCAGTGTCTTTCTTTCTTCATTGTTAAAATTGATGCCTAAATATTTAAACTACAAGACACAGTCACTTTGCTTTGAAAAGTTCATTGTAACACATAATGCCTGACTTTGATATCAAAACTCTTAAGTCTAAGGAAAGTAAACAACCCTTCCGGTATGAACACAATAACAGCTTATTAGTCTTCCAAGAGCAAGAATGTGCCTGAATAAGAGAGGAAGGTTAACTAGAATTCTGCTGCTCATCCACACTCATGCACCCTACTTCATTGGAGTTTTCAGTCAGATTTACAGCTTGATGACTGGAACTAAGGGAGGAGTGAGTCTGTCAGGTTTCAGTAACCTCAGTTCTGAATGCTAGGTCCTGAAGGTAGTTGTATGTTCTCCCAGTAATTTTATTGCTTTAAATAGTTATGTCATAAGACTGGATGTGCAGAGACAGCTTACTCAGAGAACTTCATTCCAGTAAGTAACCCTAGTTTATTAAGCTACAACTATACATGAGATTCAGGAAATGAATAAACTTCTATACAAAGTGAACACGTTTTTAATTTTTTAACCAAATGGAAACAATATTTTATTGTATTTAAGAGCTGTATGCTTTCATAGTCTCCGATAACTTTCTCTCTCGTCTCCTTAATAAGCAACACAGGATGCAAGGAATTGAGCAGCTTGGACTTGTGAAATCTGTTACGTGTTTTCCTTTCTAGATATGGTCTTAGAAAGAGCTTCTCAAGCCACTTTGAAGAATTGGTTGCTGCTAAGTTTCTGTCTCTTTCTGCCTGTCCTTGTTGGTTCTATCATCATGATTGTAAAATGGAATGAATTAAGCAGACTGTGCTTAAAGGAGGAGGACTCAGAAGCTGACGAGTAAATCATTTTATTCACCTAATTAACTATTTCCAAGTATTCATTTGGGGTATGTCTACACTACAGAGAAGATCGAAGCTGCCACTCTCATCTTCCAGGATTCGAATTAGTGGATCTAGTGAAGAGCTGCTAATTTGAATAGTGAAGGGGGCTCCGGTCAATGCTGTTAGTCCTGCTTCCAGGAGGAGTAAGGGAAATTGAAGGGAGAGTGTGAGACAAAATAAGGGCATTTACATTTATGAAGAAACAAAGAAATCTGGAAATTGATTTTAGAAAGATGGCCCCAAACTGTGACTCACAATCTCCCAGCTTGGGTCTTGATGCCTGTGCCCGTTGCCAGCCCCATGTACATAGGCTTAGAAGGATTAGATGTTCAATGGTGTCAGTAATGAACTGTACGCACACCATTCAACAACAACAAAAATGTCCATCAGTAATAATCAGACTTTGCAGATACACAAAATAAGGAAAATAATAAACCCTGCAGATGTGCAAAGTAAGGAAAAAGAAAACTTACTTGACTGTGATTTAAGGGTGTTTACTTTGGCTATTTAATTTAAGTGATTTACTTGGGCTATTAAGATATGTGATGTTGCCAATTTGTTGTAATGGTCATGAAGTTTTGTCTTGTTGAATCTCAGTGTCCACTGTCATTAAATAATTATCCTCTGACCTTCACCATAACTTTCTATAGCTGTGAAAATGTCAATGCATACAGATCAAAAATTCCTAAAACCCACCAAAACAACAAGGAGACCCATGGCACCTTAGAGACTAGTGAATTTATTAGGACATCAGCTTTAATGGGTAAAAACGACTTCATCGGGTTTTATCCACAAAAGGTTATAGTCTAAAGTGCCACAGAATTCCTTGTTGTTTTTGCAGATACAGACTAACCTGGTGGCGACCCCCTTTGAGACTAAAAAATCCACAATTATTATACAACTGTGAACCTTTAAATAGGTAGAAGTAAACATTGATACTATCAGAGTTATTAAACATGAAAATATAACTCTGCCAAGCCTACATTTAATTCATGGATACACAAGAATTTGCACTAGTGGAATCTAATGCAGGACGGAGCCAACGTCAATATATGGCATTTTCATAATATAGCATTTTCTACAGAAATTGCACTTTAAAAGTCTTCCTGTCGTGCAGGAAAATTATGTATTTTATAGGAACTCTGTATTTGTCAATTAGAATTCACCTTTGATAGCAAGAAATTCTCTTTTGAATTGCTGGAATTTTAAAGAGATAGAACTAAATATGCTCTGTAGCTTTGAGATTATATGAAGCATTTACTTCATTTTAAGTAATATTCTCTCTCATTTTTTAAAAATCTAAATCTAGATCAGAAGACTTGAGCCTGTCGGACAATCAAAGGTGAGTTTCAAATAGGTAACATGAGTGCTCTCATTTTACCATTTATATTTTATTTATTTGTTTTATGGAAGTACTCCAAGGCCCTATTCAGGATTGGGACCTATTATGTTAGGCACAGTTCAGTAATGAGGATAAAAGACTCGGTGGCTGTGTCTAGACTGGCAAGTTTTTCCGCAAAAGCACCTGCTTTTGCGGAAAAACTTGCCAGCTGTCTACACTGGCCGCTTGAATTTCCACAAGAACACTGACGATCTCATGTAAGAAATCAGTGCTTCTTGCGGAAATACTATGCTGCTCCTGTTCGGGCAAAAGTCCTTTTGCGCAAAGCTTTTGCACAAAAGGGCCAGTGTAGACAGCTCAGTTTTGTTTTGTGCAAAAAAGCCCCGATTGCGAAAATGGCAATTGGGGCTTTTTTGCGCAAAAGCGCGTCTAGATTGGCACGGACGCTTTTCCGCAAAAAGTGCTTTTGCGGAAAAGCATCAGTGCCAATCTAGATGCTCTTTTCCGCAAATGCTTTTAATGGAAAACTTTTCCGTTAAAAGCATTTGCGGAAAATCCTGCCAGTCTAGATGTAGCCACATGTGTGAAAGCAGGTCAGAAATGGTGTTGTTTCAATACTCGCAGGTTTATTTTTCAAAATATTGTCTACTCATTGTGCAGTAGGAATACAGCCACTTACCAAGCTATGCAACAACTGCTGAATTTGATGGTACTCCTGGATAAACTAATTTTCTGCAAGATACAGCCCATTTCCTCTGCTAAACTGATTAAAAAGCTGCCCAAAATCTTCACCCCTCAGTCATTTGCAAAATTAAAGTATCTGGTCCCTGAACTCTTGTGCTGAGTCCTTGACTCTGGTCTAGAGCGAATTCGGGCTCTGGCTTTGCCTAGCGCCCTTTGGAGCAGCTGTAACGCCGCGTGTCGCGTGTCCCCTTCTCCCGCAGCGCGTAGCGGAGCGAGGCGGCGGCGGAGCCCGAGGAGGAGGCGGCGCGAGGCGGCGCGGGGCGGGGCTTGTACCGCGTCC